CGGCATCCCCGCTGCTGCTGCTGCTGCTGCTGCTGCTGCTCGGGGGAGGGGGAGGGGGGCCCAAGGAAGCGGCCGCCAGGGAAGAAGCTGAGGGCGAGGGGAAGGGGGGGGGAGGGGGGGAAAGAGAAAACGCAGAAAGGGGAAGTGGGAGGGCCAGAAGAGCTGCGGCAGCGGCGAAGACAGCCGCGAAAGCGAGGCGGAAAGCCGGGATCTGGCGGCGAAAGCGGGCCTTGGAGTTGAAAATAGAAATAAAAAAACAAAAAGAATGGAAAATGCCAAGTTGGAAAGGCCACATGATCTGCGGCGGCAGCGGCGGCCGCCGAATTCAAAACTTGAATGTGTGCTCGGCCATTTTCAAGTTGAACAGGGGGCGGGAGAGCCCGTTTGAACGCGAATTTGAGGAATTTCGGGAAATAAAAGTTAAAAAAATGTTGCTGAACGCGAAATTAATTGATTTTGCAATTAAATGATGCTGCTTTCCCGCCTGCGGAGCTGCGCGCAGCGCAGTGATCGCCGCTTTCGCCCAGCCGCAGGTGTACGTACACCTGCGCGGCCGCCAGTGCAGCGGCGCAAGCGCCCGCCGGAGTTGCTGCGGAAACTTTAATTACTTTTGAACTTTTGAATTTGAATTTCAAAGCTTTTTGCGCTGCTGTGCATGCAGCAGCAGCAGCGGCGGGCTGCGGCCGCGCGCGGCGCCAGCAGCTCAAACTGGAATTCTGCTGCCGCCTCGCCGCAGCGCAGCAGCAGCAACAAACCCATTTTTGAAAAGCTCGCGAAGAATTTAATTCCAAAACTTTTCCATTTCTTCTTTTCGAGCTTTTGGAGGCTCCATTGGCCGGCTGGCAGGAGTTGCTGCCGCGGGCGGTGGCCAGCGCCGCTAGCGGGGGACTTCGCCGCATTTTCCGTTTTTTTTCCCGCGGCTTTCGGCGCTCTTGCTCTCCGCGGGGCCCTCTGCGTCACTGCAGCGCAGCACGAGCTGCTGCTGCTGCTGCTGCTGCTGCTGCTGCAGCGGAGGCTTTTTCGCTTCTTTTCTGAATGCTGAAATCCTCCAAAGAGAAGCACATGGGCTTTGCGCGGCGCAGCCCGAGCTGTACGTACAGCTGCGCCCTCTAGACGGCGCGCCCGCCGCCGCTGCAGCCGCTGCTGCTGCTGCTGCTGCTGCTGCTGCTGCTGCTGCTGCTGCTGCTGCTGCTTGCCGCGGAAAGCTGCGCACAGCTCAATGCGCCTTCGCCCAGGCCCTGTCGCTACACTCGCGCAACCATGCGGAGGACTTAGGCGCCGGCTGCTGCCCCCCGTTTGTCTCCGTTCCATTCGAGTTCTTGCTGCTGCTGCTGCTGCTGCTGCTGCTGCTGCTGCTGCTGCTAGGCCTGGCCCGGGCACTCCCCATGGCAGCTCTAGGGGCCCCCATCGCAAGTCCGTGCAAGTAGTTTCGCAAGCAGCAGGGGGGCCCCCTGCTGCGGAAGAAGTGGTTTGGGGGGCGCTGCTGCTGCTGCTGCTGCTGCTGCTGCAGCTGCGCGGCGTTCAGGTGTACGTACACCCCAGCGCCCGCCACAATGGGGGCCTTCAACAGCTGCTTCTCCAGCACTTTGCGGCTTTGCTGCTCCAAAAGAGTCCACCAGATTCGCGTGGCGGGGCCGGCCCAGGCGGGCAAGACTTCCATCATAAAGTGGATGAAGTACAAGAGTTTCTTCAAACTCGCCCCCACCGAGGGTTCGTGCGCAAAATTCCCCATTTTCCCCGTTTTTTTCCCTTTTTTCCCGTTTTTTTCCCTTTATTTGCATTTATTTCCTTTTATTTCCTTTTATTTCCTTTTATTTCCTTTTATTTGGTTTTATTTGCCCTCGAAATGCCGAAAAACGGAAAAAAACGAAAGCTGCACGCGCGGTGTACAGACACCGCAGCGCAACTTGCAAAAATTCAAATTCAACTTTTCGGGTGTATGGGCACCTCCCGCGGCCGTTTCGCCGCGATCTTCCGGGAAAGTTGCATTTAAATTAATTAATTGTTCGTTTTATTGCATTTAAAGTAATTAATTATCCGTTTCATTGCATTAAAATTGAATTATTTTTCGTTTTTTTCCGCTTTTGTTCTTTTCAGGACTAGAAGTCGACAGGATCGACTACCCTGACACCGCCCTTGTCATGTGGGATACGCGCCAGCACTTCGAAGACATGGTGAGTTTTATTCAAAGTTTTTTTAATTTTCGAAAAAGCTTTTGAATAAAATCCCCAATTAATTAATTAATTAAATGTTTTTGAAATTAATTTCGAAATAAATCCGCAAAAAACCCCAAAAGCTCTTCTTCCGATTCGCAATTTGCTGCAGGTGAGGCCCCACCAGCTGGACATTCGCTGCATCATTTTCGTGGTCGACAGCGCAGACCCGGGCCGGCTCCGCGTGGGTGAGCTAAACCCTTTTTTAGGGTTTAGGGTTTAGGGTTTAGGGTTTCGGCTCGCAGCCCGCAGGTCCAGCCACCCCGCCCTACGCACACGGCGCAGCTCGCCCGCGCGCCGCGCTTTCACGAAAAAGCCCGCAGCCCAGCGCCTAGGGTTTAGGGCTTAGGGTTTAGGGTTTAGGGTTTAGGGTTTAGGGTTTAGGGTTTGTTGCGCAGCAAACCGCTCGCTGGACCGGCTGCTGCGGGACCTCCCCAACGCCAGCATTCTGCTGGTCTTCGCCACCAAACAAGACCGGCCCGGCGCGCTGTCTGTGGCGGACATTCAGCAGCAACTCCACCTCCACCAACTCGTCGACAAGGAGTGGTAAACCCTAAACCCTAAACCCTAAACCCTAAACCCTAAACCCTAAAGCTGGCCTGCGGGCGCGGGGTTCTGCGGGGCCCGGCGCGTGCGTGGAGTGGTTTTTGTTGAATGGAATGAAGCAAACTTTCTTGTTTTTATTTTCTTGAATTAAATGAAATAACTTTCTTTTTTGTCTTTAATTAAATTAAATAAACTTTTTGTTTTTGTCTGCAGCGGAGTCTTTGCATGCAGCGCCAAAACTGGAGAAGGAATTGAAGAAGGAGTCTCTTGGCTTATTCGCCAGCTGAAGCAGCAAGACGGCGCCAGCTGCGCATGCGAAGCAGACTCCGCAATTCCCTGCTTCCTGCAGCAGCTCCCAGTCTAGCAGCAGCAGCAGCAGCAGCAGCAGCAGCAGCAGCAGCAGCAGCAGCGGCGGCGGCGGCGGCGGCGGCGGCGGCGGCGGCGGCGAAGCAGCAGCAGCAGCGGCAGAAGCAGCGCAGCGACAGAAGCAGCAGTAGCAAAGCAGCAGCAGCGGCAGCAGCAGCAGCAGCAGCAGCAGCAGCAGCAGCAGCAGCAGCAGCGAGCCGTGCAGCGTTTACGAGGCATAAGAAGCACAGTGAAGTGCCTCACTATTATTATTATCATTATTATTATTATTATTATTATTATTATTATTATTATTATTATTATTGTAAACAATTGTAGAAAACAACAATAGAGAACTTAGGCGGCCATAAACTCACCGCGCAGCCCGCAACCCAGGGAAACACTGCATGCAGCAGCAGCAGCAGCTGCTGCTGCAGCAGCTGCTGCAGCAGCAGCTGCTGCAGCAGCAGCGCTGCCGCTGCTGCTGCGAGTGCTACTTTTGTGCGCCTCGGTGGCGCTGTCCGCACACATGCATATGCATGCATGCATGCACACATGCATGCATGCATGCATGCATGCATGCATGCATGCATGCGGGAATGCATGCGTTTAGGTCCTTGCATGCATGCATGCATGCATGCATGCATGCATGCATGCATGCATGCACTTTGGGGCCCTCTTCAGAGCCCCAAATGGCTGCATGCGTTACTGCCGCTGCAGCGCATGCAGCCGCAGGGATCAGGTTCGCATCTGAGAGCATGTGCTGCTGCGGCAGCAGCAGCAGCTGCTGCTGCAGCTGCTGCGGCTGCAGCAGCAACTGCAGCAGTTGCTGCTGCTGCTGCAGCAGCTGCAGCTGCTGCAGCAGTTGCTGCTGCTGCTGCAGCAGCTGCAGCTGCTGCAGCAGCAGCTGCAGCAGCTGCAGCAGCAGCTGCAGCTGCTGCTGCAGCAGTTGAAGCTGCTGCTGCAGCTGCTGCTGCAGCAGCCGAGCTCCAGTTTTTTCGGGGAAAGTTTATTTTTTGAATTAAATAAGTTCATTTTATTTTTAAAACTTTAATTGAAACAAATAATTAAATCCACTGTAGCTACACCTCGGCGCGCGGGGGCTTCTTCTCGCTGCTGCCAGACAGCTGCGGGGCCACTGCAGCAAAAAGAACCAAAAGAAGACAATTGATAAATTAAATATTTAAGCAGCAGCAGCAGCAGCAGCAGCAGCAGCAGCAGCAGCAATTCAGCAGCAGCAAATCAGCATGGCCAGCGACTCAGCAAAGGTGCAACTCGGCGGCAGAAGCAGCAACCCAGCAGCAGCAGCAGCAGCGATTCAGCAGCACTTCAGCAGCAGCAGCAGCGCTTCAGCAGCAAATGAGCAGCAGCAGCAGCAGCGGAGGCGCGCGCTTTCGCAGCAGCAGCAGCAGCAACGCAGCAGCAGCAGCAGCAACAACGCAGCAGCCGCAGCAGCAGCAACGCCGCAGCAGCAGCAGCAACGCAGCAGCAGCAGCAACGCAGCAGCAGCAGCAGCAGCAGGAGACTGACAGTTGCTGCTGGTGGCGCCGAAAACCCCCAAAGCCTTGGCCACCATTGCTGCAGCATCAGCAGCATCAGCAGGAACAATAATGCTGCTGCTGCTGCTGGCAGCAAGTTTGCCAAAAGCAGCAATATAGTTTTCTGCGAGCTGCACGCGCAGGGCCTCGGGGCCTCCTGCAGCGCAGCAGAAGCGAATTAAAAGCAAATTAAAAAGCAAATTGAACCACAAATTCGAATTTATCTTTCTTTTTTCTTTTATTATTCCTTTTATTTCATTTTAAATCATTTAAATCCCTTTTTGTTTCACTTTTTCATCCCGCGAACTAAACCCGACACTCCGCGCATGCGCTGAGGTGTACAGACACCCCAGACACCCTGCGTCTTCGCTCTTTTCCAGTTTTCGCATTTCAATTTATTTATTTAATTTAATTTAATTTAATTAATTTAATTTAATTTAATTTATTTAATTTAATTTAACCTTTTAATTAAATACTTTTTGAATAAATTGAAGTCTAAGGCCTCTTTTTGGCACTTCCTTCTGCTGCACTTCTTCAGATTTAAATGCAAAATGGGAAATTCAATAAAATTAAAAAAGAGAATCAAAAAGGAAATAAAACAAATAAATAAAATAAAAGATAAATAAAAGAAATAAAAGGAAATAAAAAGAAATAAAAGAAATAAAAAGACAAGAGGAGTGTTTGGCTGACCCGGGATGCTGGCGCTGGCAGCAATTAGGCGGACGCTGTCTGCTGCTGCTGCTGCTCGCAGGCGAACTGCTGCTGCTGCTGCTGCTGCACTCAAAGTTGCTGCTTCTTTTTCTCCCTCAGCTCTGTTTATTAAACACTTTTTGTCTCCTTCGCTCCGCAGCACTTCCGCACGCTTCAGACGCTCCGCCTCCGCCTACCAGCAGCAGCAGCAGCAGCAGCAGCAGCAGCAGCAGCAGCAGCAGGTGAGGCATAGTCAGCAGCAGCAGCATATGGGGCATAATCAGCAGGCGCAGCAACAGAAGCAGATGGGGCATAAACAGCAGCAGCAGCAGCAGCAAATGAGACACAAACAGCAGCAGCAGCAGCAGCAGCAGCAGCAAGAGCGAGTCTCTCTCAAAAGGAAACAGGAAAAAGAAAAAGGAGAAAAAAGGGAAAAAAAGAAAAAGAAAAGAAAACAAAAAAAGGGAAAAAAGAGTTGAAGGGCCTCAAAAGGGATTAAAAAGTAAAAATTAAAATTAAAAAATGCAAATAACAATAAACAATACAAACAAATAAATTAAATAAACAAAATACTAACTAAACAAACAAACAAACAAACAAACAAATAAATAAACAAGCAAACTAGATAAATAAACAATACATACATAAACAAATAACAAACGAATAACAAATAAATAACAAATAAATAGCAAATAAATAGCAAATAAATAATAAATTAATAAATAATAAATAATAAGCAAGTAGATAAATAAATAAATAAATAAATAAATAAATAAATAATTATTACTTGTTTCTCCATGGCCACTTTGACACTAAGTGGCAGAATGATGTAAATAACAAATAAATAACCAATAAGTAACCAATAAGTAACCAATAAATAGAAAATAAATAGCAAATAAATAAATAACAAGTAATAAATAAATAAATAAATAAATAAATAAATAAATAAATAAATAATTACTTGTTTCTCCATAGCCATTTTAACGCTAAGTGGCGGAATGATGTAAATAAATAAATAACCAACAAATAGCAAATAAACAGCAAATAAATAACAAATAAACAACAAATAAATAATAAATAAATAAATAAATTAATTAATTAATTAATTAATTAAAATAAATAAATAATAATTACTTGTTTCTCCATAGCCATTTTAACGCTAAGGGTGGGAATGATGTAAATAACAAATAAATAAGTAACAAATAAATAGCAAATAAATAGCAAATAAATAACAAATGAATAATAAATAATAAATAAATAAATGAATTGATTAATCAATTAATTAATTAATTAATAATTACTTGTTTCTCCATGGCCACTTTTACACAAAGGGGCGAAATGATGTAAAAAAACAAATAAATAACAAATAAATAACCAAAAAATAGCAAATAGATAACCAATAAATAGCAAATAAATCGTAAATAGATAACAAATAAATAATAATTAATTAATTAATTAATTAAAATAAATAAATAAATAATAATTACTTGTTTCTCCATGGCCATTTTGACACGAAGGGGGGGAATGATGTAAAAAAACAAATAAATAGCAAATAAATAACCAAAAAATAGCAAATAAATAACCAATAAATAGCAAATAAATAGCAAATAAATAATAAATAAATAATAAATAAATAAATAAATAATTAATTAATTAATTAATTAATTAATTAATTAATTAATTAATTAATTAATTAATTAATTAATTAATTAATTACTTGTTTCTCCATGGCCATTTTGACACTAAGGGGGGGAATGATGTCTTTGATTTCGTAGCGGAGGCAGCTGAGGCCCCAGGGCCCGGCTGCGGCGTTGATGGCCTGAAGAGGGGAAAAGGGGGTCGAAAAAGGAGTTTTTTGGCGGCAAAAAGAGGCGGAAAAAGGCCCTAAAGGACTTAATTGAATTGCAAATGCATTAATACCTCGACAATGTTTTTATTCAGCGAATTTCGCTCCAGAAAAGTCTCGTCGAGGCTGAGTTTTCCCAACTCGGAACGCATGGTGGTCTGCGCCAGCTGGGTGACCGCGAACATCGGGTTTTCCACTCCGTACGAGGCCTGCGCCGCCGAAAACGGACCCCAACACTTCCCATTTGTTTTTATTTGTTCTTTTCTTCGAATTAAATGCAAAAAAAGAATTAAAATGGCGAAAATCGCGGCGAAAACGGCGCCAAAACCCACCCGGTAGGGGTCCTTGACCTGTACGTACAGCACGCCGTCGATCTGCAGAGTGACCTGCGCGTACACCCCAGCGCCCCGCGGCCGCGCAAATCTTCCGCCGCCAAAATCGCCGAAATAAATCCAAAATTCGTTTCTTTTTTTTCTTTTTTTTCAAATTAATTTTCGCTTTTGAATTTAAAAAGCCTTTTCCGCGTTTGCGGCGCGTTTGCGCGGCGGGCGGCCGCCCCCCGGCCGCGCGCGAGCGGCGCCGCCGCCGCCGGCCGCGGAGCGGAACTCGCGCGAAACTGGGAGAAAAAGAGAAATAAAAAGAGTTTTTTGAAGCACTTTTGCATTTTAAAAAGGTTTTGCAACTCAAAAACTGCTATTGCTCACATTATCCCGCGTTATTGCCGACTGATTCGATATCGCCAGCGCCTCCTCCTTCAAAGAATGCACGTAAGCCACCCGGTCCACCACGGGAACCAAAAAGTGAAGGCCTGGGGCCAACACTCTCGAGAACTTTCCAAACCTGCAGCGCCCAGTGGACCAATGGACCACTCACTGACCACTGGTCACTGCCTCCACGGCCCGGGGGCCCCCAAGGGGCCCCTAGAAAGCCCCCTTCGGGGCCCCTACAGGGCCCCTACAGGGCCCCCAAGGGGCCCCTAGAAGGCCCCCTTGGGGGGCCCCTAGAAAGCCCTCTTGGGGGCCCCTACAGGGCCCCTTGGGGGCCCCTAGAAAGCCCCCTGGGGGGCCCCTACAGGGCCCCCTTCGGGGGCCCTAGAGGGCCTCCTGTGGGCCCTAGGGGGCCCGGTGGGGGGCCCCTAGGGGGCCCCCTTGGGGGCCCCTAGGGGCATTTCTGGGGGTTTGGAGGTTGCTTTCTGCCAAAACCCTGCGAATTGCCTAAACCCTAAACCCTAAACCCTAAACCCTAAACCCTAAACCCTAATCTTGAAGGAAAGAGCGGATGTGCAAAACAATTGTTATTACCATTTGCAAAACCAGAAAAAAAGATTTAATCATTTTAGTTGTTTGAACTTTGACCGAAGATTCAAAAGCCACAAATGCCCGCCAAACCCCCCACAAACCCCAAACCCTAAACCCTAAACCCTAAACCCTAAACCCTAAACCCTAAACCCTCACCTCTCCACGACGTAGGCCATTTGGTGGGGCACAGAGACAAACCCGAAATGCTGCAAAGAGGAGTTGGACTTAAAAGCCTTTGAAGAGAAGTAGCGCGTGGTGCCGCTGGGGTGTATAGGCAGCTCGGGTGTACGTACACCCCACGGCCCCGCGAAAAGCCGCTTTTGCGGCGAATTTTTCGCTCCTTTTTGCTGCCAAAAACAATTTAATGAATTAATTTCTTTTTTTGAATTATTTGATCCAAAATTTAAAACTTTTGGCCCCAAAAATCCCGAAAAACGAGCTGGAGATACACCCCAAACTGGCGCACCAGCCAGCCCCCCGCGCCCCTGAGGTGTACAGACACCCCGCACATTTTGCACAGCAAATGGCCCAGCAGCAAAAGGGCCCCGGAGGGCCTCAAAAGCCCTCATTGCCTGCTGCTGCTGCTGCTGCTGCTGCTGCTGATGCTGCTGCTGCTGCTGATGCTGCTGCTGCTGCTGGTTCTGCTGCTGCTGCTGCTGCTGTTGCTGCTGCAGCTACTGCTGCTGCACTGAAACTGCCTCTACTGCTGGTGCTGGTGCTGCTGCTGCTGCTGCTGAGGGCTCCCGTGCTCCTTCCTGCTGCTGCTTGCTGCTGCCGCTCCAGCTGCCCCTGGTGCAGCAGCTGCTGCTGCTGCTGCTGCTCCCCAGCTTGCTGCTGCGACTTCAACTGCCTCTGCTGCTGCTGCTGCTGCTGCTGCGCCTCCCTCGCCCAGCGAGCGCCCGCGGGGGCCCCCTAAGCACGAACACAGCAGCAGCAGCAGCAGCAGCAGCAGCAGCAGCAGCAGGAGTTTGCAAAGGCTCGAAGAATTAATTCAATTAAAGTTTCTCTTTGCCTTAATTTCCATTTAACTGCAACTCCAGATATTCCTTTGCTGCTGCATGCGCCAATTGGCTGCAGCAGCAAAGACGCGGGGCCTCGGGGGGCCCCCCGGGTCTTGGGGGGCCCCACAGGGGGCCCCTGGGGGCCCCCTGGGGCCCCCTTTGCATTGGGTACTGGCTTTTTGGCAATATAATTCATTTTTATTTATTATTTTGTCTATTTATTATAATTTAAAAAGTTAAACAACTTTGTTTGGCATTAAAGCGCAAAAATTTGCGCTAAACCAGCAGCAGCAGGCGCTGCAGCAGCTGCTTGCTGCTGCTGCTGCTGCTGCAGCAGCAGCACCAGCAGCAGCGGGGCTTGGGTGTATGGGCAGGTTTCTGTGATTTATCTTTATTTATTTTTATTTATTTTATTTTATTTTATTTATTTTATTTATTTTATTTATTTTTATTTATTTTTACTTTCTATGATTAGAAGAACAATTGCATGCAGAGCAGCAGCACCCTGCTGCAGTTACTTTGCTGCCAATCCTTGCTGCTGCTGCTGCTGGTCAAAAAGCAGCAGCAGCAGCAAAAAAGGCAATTAAAGAAATAAAAAATAAAAACGGAAAAGTATTTTAATTAAAATTGCAAAAAGAGAATAGTCTATTCTTCAAAACATTTCCTCTGCAGCAGCTGCTGCTGCTGCGGCTGCTGCTGCAGCTGCAGCAGCTGCAGCTGCTGCTGCTGATGCGGCAGCTGCAGCAGCTGCTGCAGCAGCAGCAGCTGCAGCAGCAGCAGCTTTTTCGGACTTCTGCTGCCATATCTTTGTTTATTTATTTTTAAACATCCAACTTTTAATTTAAAGTTTATTTAAATGTTAAAAGGGTTTATTTAATTATCAAAATAATTTATTTAATTTAAAAAAAGAATTTATTTATTTATAAAAATATATTTTCAAATAAAAAGCAGCAAATTGAAAGATTGGCCAGCGCCCACAGAGGGCTTTCTCTCATTTTATTTTATTTTATTCATTTTATTTATTTTATTTTATTTTATTTATTTTATTTTATTTATTTTATTTTATTTTATTTTATTTATTTTATTTATTTTATTTTATTTATTTTATTTATTTTATTTTGATTCTTTTATTTTTCTAATTTAATTTAATTTAATTTATTTTAATTTATTTTATTTGGCTGGAATAAGGGGAAAAGTGCATGTGCTGGTTTGTAGAGCTGCAGCAGCAGCTGCTGCTGCTGCTGCTGCTGTTGCTGCTGCTGCTGCTGCTGCTGCTGCGCTGCAGTGTGGGCGAGCCTCAGCTGCAGCAATTCAAATAGAACTTTAAAATAATCAAAATGAATTTAATAATTTGTTTTTGTTTTCAATTTATTTTAAAATGAAAAAGCAAAGCAGCAAAAGAGATCAGTTCGCCCCACAGAGAAGTTGCTGCAGACTGCTGCTTTGTGGGGTGCTGCAGCAGCAGCACCCCACAGAAGCAGCAGCAGCAGCAGTGGCAGCAGCGGCAGCAGCAGCTGCGGCAGCACTAGCAGTAGCGGCAGCAGAAACAGCAGTAGCAACAGCACTAGTAGCAGCAGCAGCAGCAGCAACATCAGCAGCAGCAGCTGCCGCTGCTGCTGCTGCAGCACTAGCAGTAAGAGCAGCAGCAGCAGCAGCACTGGGAGCAAGTGCAGCAGCAGCAGCAGCAGCAGCACTGGGAGCAAGTGCAGCAGCAGCAGCAGCAGCAGCGAAACTGCGGCTGCTGCCTACCGCAATGCGCCCCTCTCTTGAAGCAGCAGGACTGCAGCAGCATTTTAATTTTAATTAAAATTAATTAAAATTAATTTTTAATTAATTAAAATTAATTAAAATTAATTTTAATTAATTTTAAATTATTTACAAAGGCCCAGCAGCAGCAGACAAGTGCGTGCTGCAGCAGCAAATAGTTGCTTCATTTAATTATAATTAAAATAAAAATTCCGTTTTATTTGTGGAGAGACTGTGCTGCTGTTAACTAGTTGCTGCTGCTATCTCCTGCTGCTGCTTGCTGCTGCCAGGTGCTGCTACTTGCTGCTGCTGCTGGCTGCTGCTGCTACTTGCTGCTGCTGCTGCTTGCTGCTGCTGCTTGCTGCTGCTGCTTTCCCTCTCGGACTGTTTATCTCTTTAAATGGAATTCCGAAGTTGAAATTCATTTAGCTGCAGCAGCAAACTAAACTGGAGGCCATCGGGGCCTTTTCTGCTGCAAATAAACAATTCAAGTTGCTGCTGCTGCTGCTGCTGCTGCTGCATGCAGCGCAGCAGCAAAGGGCAGCAGCAAATAAAGTTGGCCGAGCCCTCAGCAGCAGCTTCGCAAGGAGCCACAGCCGCCGCAGCGCCCACTGCTGCTGCTGCTCTGCTGCTGCTGCTGCTGCTGCTGCTGCTGCTGCTTCGTTATTGCTTATTCTGCAGCAATGTTTATCAGCTCCGTTTTATTTGTGAAGAAACTGTGCTGCTGTTAATTAGTTGCTGTTGCTATCTCCTGCTGCTGCTTGCTGCTGCCAGGTGCTGCTACTTGCTGCTGCTGCTGGCTGCTGCTGCTACTTGCTGCTGCTGCTGCTTGCTGCTGCTGCTTGCTGCTGCTGCTTTCCCTCTCGGACTGTTTATCTCTTTAAATGGAATTCCGAAGTTGAAATTCATTTAGCTGCAGCAGCAAACTAAACTGGAGGCCATCGGGGCCTTTTCTGCTGCAAATAAACAATTCAAGTTGCTGCTGCTGCTGCTGCTGCTGCTGCATGCAGCGCAGCAGCAAAGGGCAGCAGCAAATAAAGTTGGCCGAGCCCTCAGCAGCAGCTTCGCAAGGAGCCACAGCCGCCGCAGCGCCCACTGCTGCTGCTGCTCTGCTGCTGCTGCTGCTGCTGCTGCTGCTGCTGCTTCGTTATTGCTTATTCTGCAGCAATGTTTATCAGGATTTACAAAAATATTATATTATATATAATATAATATATATTATATATATAGAAGGGTTTTAATTGTCTTTATTTGCTGCTGCTGCGGCCAGAGGCGCGCTCGCCGCCGCGGGCGCTGTGTGCAAGAACCACCGGTCTGTGTGCGGCTGCGCATGTTTGTGGGGGCCCCGGGGCCCCCAGCAGTTCTTTGAAAAGGACGAAATTGTTTAAAATATATATATTTGAATTATAAGAAGGAAAAATAGAGAAAAAGGGGTTTCAGGGGCGCCCAGGCAGCAGGCGCTGCAGCGGCGGCGGTGGGTGGTGCAGCCCCGGCGGCCGAGAGCACTGGCCGCAGCACTTCGTTCAACTTTTCAAGTTTTTGAATGCATTTTCTTTAAAGGTTTGTTGTGACGGCATTAAGTCGCATTTTATTCCCATTTCCGCGGAAAGTTGCGGTGTACGTACAGCTCCGAGTAGCGCCAGCCCCGCGTTCGCGACTTCGGACCGCCGGAGCGCCGCACTTGAATTATTCCACAGCATCGCTCGCTGCGCCCCTGGCTTATTTTTTTCGAGCTTTTCAGCTTCGTCTCGCAAAACTGTTCTAAAATTGTCTTTAAAGCAGCGAGATCCCGCGGAAATAGGGGGCGGATCGCCCGGTCGTCTGCAGCGCAGCCGCAGCAGCAGCAGCAGCAGCAGCAGCAGCGCCGCGGCCAGCCGCTGCGATCCGCGGGGAAGCCGGCGAAATTCGCAGCGAGAACTCGCGAACTTCCACGAAATTCACTTTGCAGGTTTAGTAAAGGGTTTATTTTCGAGAAGATTGTCCAGCAGTGGCCAGCTGCTGCTGGCTGCCGCTGCGCAAGGTAGCAGAGCAGGTTTTGAACGGATTTGAAAGCAGCAGCACGCCAGCAGCAGCAGCAGCAGCTGCTGCCTCTTCCCCAGGTCTTTTCGTGCTGCAGCAAAGCCCCAAATGGCGTTTGCTGCTTCGCTGCTGGGGGGCTTCTTTGCTGCCCCCGAAGATGAACAGGGAGAAGGCCCCGGAGCAGCAGCAGCGCCGGCTGCTGCTGCTGCTGCTGCTGGAGGCGCAGCAGCAGCGCCGGCTGCTGACGCTGCTGCGGACGCAGCAGCAGCAGGGCAAGCGGCGGAGGCGGCGGGGGAGCTCTCCCCCGCTGCAGCAGCAGCAGCAGCAGCAGCAGCAGCAGCAGCAGCAGCAGCAGTGACCGAAAACGAGATGCTGCCGATAGGCGAAGCCGTGCCGGAGGGCGAGCACGTGCGCACGCTGCGCATTTACTGCAGACCCCCCGCCGCAGCAGCAGCAGCAGCAGCAGCAGCGCCTGCTGCAGCAGCAGCAGCAGCAGCAGCAGCAGCAGCAAACTGCCGCGAAGTGCACGTGCTGCGGGTCTTTCGAGAGCCAGATGTTATGATTGCTCCCGAATTAATTACTGCTGCTCAATGCGACCATTTGCTGCAGCTGGCCGAAGGCAAATGGACCCGCAGCAAAACCAGCATCGGCACCACTTCCGCTCCCCAGGTCCAACCTGCTGCTGCTGCTGCTGCTGCTGCTGCTGCTGCTGCTGCTGCTGCTGGTCTTGTGCTGCTCGTGCCGGTCTTCCTGCTGCTATTGCTGCTGCTGCTGCTGCTGCTGCTGCTGCTGGTCTTGTGCTGCTCGTGCCGGTCTTCCTGCTGCTATTGCTGCTGCTGCTGCTGTTTCTGCTGCTGCGTGTTGCTGCTGTTGCCCCTCTCGCGTCGTCCCTAGCGGCGCCGCGTTACCGCTGCTGCTGCTGCTGCTGCTGCTGCTGCTGCTGCTGCAGGTCGGCCAGTGCGTTCTCGTTTGGCACGTTTAGCATGGATTTTTTTGGCGTTTTCGAATTTAAAAAGAGAAAATAAAAACAAATAAAACAAAAGGAGATTTAAAGGACTATTTGTGTCTTTTTGCTGCTCAGAGTGCTTACAAAACAGCAGAAAGCCTCACCAGAACCTCCGAGTCCGTGCTGCTGCAGGAGGCGCAGACTGCAGGAGTTGCTGCTGTCGAGCTGCTGGCCTGCGCCTTTGCGCAGCTGCCGCTGCAGCACTTGGAGGCTTTGGTCTTAGTGAAATATCAGCAGCAGCAGTTCTTCAAAGAACACCACGACGGCTCCTTCCGCCCCAAGACTGTGCTTCTTTACCTCAACGGTGCTGCTGCTGCTGCTGCTGCTGCTGCTGCTGCTGCGGTTGCTGCTGCTGCTGCGGTTGCGGCGGTCGCTGCGCGGCTGCTGGGGCTGCTGCCGTTGCTGCGCTGCTGCTGCGGCCGCCGGGCCGCCTTTGCTGCTGCTGCAGCTGCTGCTGCTGCTGCTGCTGCTGCTGCTGCGCTGCAGACGTGGAAGAAGGGGGGGAGACGCACTTCACGCGACTGGGTTTGAAAATCGGACCCTCCCGGGGCTGTGGGGCCCTCTGGGCCAACAGGGGCCCCCAGGGCCTCATGGACTTGCGGACTTTGCATGCAGGAGTTGCTCCGATCCGCGGCAGCAAATTTGTTGTTAATTGCTTCTTCAACGAGGCCGTGGTGAGGCCGGCGCGCCCCGAAAGGCCCCTGTCAGCAGCAGCAGCAGCAGCAGCAGCAGCAGCAGCAGCAGCAGCAGCAGCAGCAGCAGCAGCAGCAGCAGCGTGGGGCGCGGGGAAGCGCGGGGGAGGGCTCGCAGGGCGCGCGCGACGCGGGAAGAGGCGAAGGCAGCGACACTAGCGACGGGCTGCAGCAGCAGCAGCAGCAGCAGCAGCAGCAGCAGCAGCAGCAGCAGCAACTGCAGCCTGCGGTCAACTTTGGGGGACTCTTCAACGGCATGTCGCCTGTGAACAAACATGCGAGCTTTTCTCCCGTGACGTCGCCGATGCAGCAGCAGCTGCTGCACCAGCAGCAGCTGCAGCAGCAGCAGCAGCAGCAGCGGCTGTGGCTGCTGCTGCAGCAGCAGCAGCAGCAGCAGCAGCACGCTCCCTTCTTCTCCACCTCCCCTGCTGCAGCAGGAGGGTACCCCAAGCTGCCGCTGGCGCCCTTGGGGCTTTCTTTTGCCCCCCAGGGCTGTTCTGCCTGGGGGCCGCATGCAGCAGCTCGTGCTGCTGCTGCTGCAGCAGCAGCAGCAGCAGCAGCAGGTCTGCCGGCCGGCCGCAGGTGGGCCTGCAACGCCCCTTCTACGGGCACCTGAGGGCCACAGATCTGCAGCAACTGCAGCAAGCAGCTTCAGCAAATTGTTCTGTCCATTGCTGCTGTTGCTGCTGCTGCTGTTGCTGCTGCTGCTGCTGCTGCCACGGCTGCAGCAGCGGGAACTGCGGGAGGGGCACAGATAACGTGGAGACAGATTGCTGCAGCTGGCGCTGCTGCTGCTGCTGCTTCAGTTTGCTCTCAGCAGCATTAGCTGCTGCTGCAGCTGCTGCTGCAGCAGCAGCTGCCGCCGCTGCTGCTGCTTCAGCCTGCCCACAGCAGCATTTGCTGCTGCTGCTGCTGCTGCAGTTTGTGTCCATTTGCTTCTATTTTTGATGCTTTTTGTCTCTGTTGTTTTGTCTCCTTTTTGATCTTCTGCAAAAGCTGCGCCTCCGCGCCAACAAACTCCATTGTCTCTTTCTGTTCACCAATTGCTGCAAACCCTAAACCCTAAACCCTAAACCCTAAACCCTAAACCCTAAACCCTAGCTTAGCTGTGCACTGTGTCTCACACGTACACAGTACTAAACGGGACAGCATTAGTTGCAGCAGCAGCAGCAGCTGCAGCAGCAGCTAATGCTGCCGAGAGCAAACAGTAGCAGCTGCAGCAGCAGCTGCTGCAGCAGCTGCTGCTGCGGCTGCTGCTGCTGCGGCTGCTGCTGCTGCGGCAGCTGCTGCTGCATGCGCCCTTAAGCTGCCCCCAGAGCGTCTGCTGCTTCGCTTTTGCCCCTTTGCCTCAAAAGGCGCCACAGACTGCCACAGCAGAACTAGGGTTTAGGGTTTAGGGTTTAGGGTTTAGGGTTTAGGGTTTAGGGTTTGTGGGCCAAGAGGCTCTTCGCCAGCTGCAAAGCCTCCGGCGAAAAACTGCTGAAGAGCTGCGCGGCTTCGGGCTGGGCCTGAGAAGGAAAATAAAAAATGAAATTTAAATAAATAAATAAATAAATAAATAAATAAATAAATATATAAATAGTTGGACAATTAATTTATTTAAATAAATAAATAATTAATTAATTTAATTAATTAATTAATTAATTAATTTAATTAATTAATTAATTAATTATAATAAATTGGGGTTAAGAGGAATAAAAGAAATAGTTGGAAGAACTCGGCGGAGGCGAATGGAGAGGAACACAAAGGACAAAAAGAAATAAAAGAAATAAAAAAAAATAAAAAGAAATAAAAGAAAAAAAGAAATAAATAAAAGAAATAAAAGAAATAAAAAGAAATCAAAGAAATCAAAGAAATAAAAGAAAATTAAAAATAAAAAAGTAAAGAAATAAAAAAGAAATAAAGAGGCAAAAGGAAGAAATAAAAGAAACAAAAGAGGAGATAAAAGAAGAAAGAAAAAAAGACAAAAAGAAAACAAAAACAAAAAAACAAAAAAGCCAAAAAATGGAAAAAAACGAAAACCAAAAGAGACTAAATGAAACAAAACAAAATAAACAAAAAGGAAACAAAAAAGAAACAAAAAAGAAACAAAAAAGAAACAAAAAAGAAATAAAAAAGAAATAAAAATAAAATAAAAATAAAAAAGAAATAAAAAAGAAATAAAAAAGAAATAAAATAAAATAAAATAAAATAAAATAAAAGACCTGCAGGTGTCGGAGAAGACTCGCGAGGGAATTTTTTTCGGCGGAGTTCTGGGGGGCCTCCAGAGCGGCCAAACTGCAGAAAAAAGTTTAAACGCAAAAAGAAAATAAAAAGAAAATAAAAAGAAAATAAAAGAAAATAAAAAGAAAATAAAAAAGAATTTGAAGATGAATTAAAGCAATTAAAGATAATTGGAGATAATTGGAAACAATTAGTGGAAAAAAGAAACAATTGAAGAGAAAAAGGGGGAAAAAAGAAACAAAATGAGACAAAAAAGAGCTGTTTAAACGCAAAAAGAAAATGAAAAAAAATAAAAAAGATGTTTTATTTTAAAGGTAATTCGAAGCAATTAAAGAGATTTGAATAATGTTTAAGATAATTGGAAGAAAAAGAAATAATTGAGGAGAAAAAGGAGAAAAAAAGGAACAAAAAGAAACAAAAAGAAACAAAAAAGAGAAAAAATGAGATGAAATAATCAAAGATAATGAAGGGATATTAAAAAGATATATTTTAAGATAATTCAAAACAATTTAAAATAATTTAAAACAATTAAAGATAGTTAAAGATAATTTTAAACAATTTAAAACAATTAAAGATAATTGAAGATAATTTAAAACAATTAAAGATAATTTAAAACAACTTAAGACAAATTAAAGCAATTAGAGATAATTAAAGATAATTCAAAACAATTAAAGACTATTAAAGATAATTTTAAACAATTAAAAACAATTAAAGATAATTTAAAACAATTTAAAGCAATTTAAAACAATTAAAGATAATTAAAGATAATTTAAAACAATTAAAAGAAAAGAAACAATTAAAGAGAAAAAGGAGAAAAAAAGAAAAAAAAGACAAAAAGGGATATTTAAACGCAAAAAATAGTAAAAAGACATTAAAAAGATATATTTTAAGATTATTTAAAACAATTTAAAACTATTAAAGACAATTAAAACAATTAAAAGAAAAAGAGACATTTGGGGAGAAAAAGAAATAAAAATAAAAAGAAAATAAAGAAAAACAAAAAGGAAATAAAATGAACATTTAGAGACAAAAAGAGATTACAAAAGGATATTTAAATATAATTTAAATATAATTTAAATATAATTTAAATATAATTTAAATATAATTTAAATATAATTTAACTACAATTTAAATATAATTTAAATATAATTTAAATATAATTTAAAGACAAATAAATGCAACCAAAGACAACTAAAGACAATTAAAGACAAAAAAGGAAAAAAAGAGATAAAAACAGAAAAAGAAGAGATATTTAAAGGCAAAAGCACTGCTGCTGCTGCTGCTGCTGCTGCTGCTGCTTGTGCTGCTGCTGCTGCTGCTGCTGCTGCTGCTGCTGCTGCTGCTTACTGGTGCATGGCGTGGGCAATGGGGTGTACAGACACCTGGATTCCGCGGAAGTCTTTGTAAAATAAAAATAAAAAATAAATAATTAATTTTGGAGAAGACTGAGACAGCTTTCTTACAGCTTCCCGAGCCACCAGGTGCAGCAGCGGGCTGCAGCAGCAAAGAATTTAGTTAATTAATTAATTAATTAATAATTAATTAATAATAAATAAATAAATAAATAATTAATTAATTAATTAGTTACTTAATTAATAATTAATTAATAATTAATTAATTAGTAATTAATTAATTAGTTAGTTAGTTATTAATTAATTAATTAATGATTAATTAATGATTAATTGATTAGTAATTAATTAATTAAGTAGTTATTTATTAATTAATTAATTAATTTAGTTATTAATTAATTAATTGTTTAACTGTTTAATTATTTAATTGTTTTATTGTTTAATTGAATAATTAACTAATTAATTAATCAGTGAGATAATTAATTGATTAAGATAATTAATTAACAAATTATTTTCTTAATTAATTTGTTAATTAATTAACAAATTAATTAATTAACAAATTAATTAATTAATTAACAAATTACTTAATTAGTTAATTAATTTGTTAATTAATCAATTAATTAATTAATTCACAAATTAATTAAATAACTAATTAATTAATTAATTAATTAATTAATTAATTAATTAATTTCCAAAAGGGGCCCCTAGGGTTTACTGGCTCACCGGCTCCACCTCTTGTGTTTGCCATGGGGCCCCTCTTCTACTTCCGCCCCTCTAAACCCTAAACCCTCAAAACCCTCAAAACCCTCAAAACCCTCAAAACCCTCAAAACCCTCTAAACCCTCTAAACCCTCAAAACCCTTCAAACCCTTCAAACCCTCCAACAATTCGCACAAAACCCTAAAAGACAAACACGGAAGTCGGTAGTAAACCGACAGCAGCAAACCCCGCAACACAGGATGCAGGGGGGCCCCCCGGGGGGCCCCCTGGGGGCTCCCCTGGGGGCCCCCCTGGGGGCCCCCCTGGGGGGCCCCCTGGGGGGCCCCCTGGGAAACCCCCAGGGGGGCCCCCAGAAGGGTACTGAAGGGGCTGTTGAGACGGGGCCCCTGAGGGGCCCCCACGGCTGTCTTCAAGGTGGGGGGCCCCCCAGGGGCCCCCAGGGAGAACCCCATTGGGCTCCTGCTGGGGGCCCCCAAGAGGGGCCCCCAGGGGGGCCCCCAAGGGGGCCCCTAAGAGGCCCCCAGGGGGCCCTGCTTGGGACTGGCTGCAAATTGCTGCTGCAGCAATGTGCGTGAAGGCGCCGCCGCTGCAACTTCGTGCACCCTGCTGCTGCAGCTGCTGCTGCTGCTGCTGCTGCTGCTGCTGCTGCTGCTGCTGCTGCTGCTGCTGCTGCTGCTGCTGCTGCTGCTGCTGCTGCT